ACGGTGATAGTCCTGGGGGTGTTCGTCCCAACTTCGATGCTGCTTATCATCGGCTACACTACTCTCTTCGTCAACCTCTCATTGCTCGATGTGAGTCCCTGTGAAGGTGACGCTCAAGGACGGCGATTCCTTGAAGTGGGGGAAGGGCGCTATAAAACAACTTTTCGAGATCCTAAGAAGCTTGACATGTTTATTTTCAAAGAATCCTGTCGTTAGATCTCAGTGCTTTATTATTCGAGTTGCATTTAAACCTTGAGGACCCTACAGCTATAGGAGCAGATGGAACAAGTCAATGAAAATAAAATTTAGCTTCACCGTGGCGCCTAACCCCAACCAGTGTCTTCCACGTGTGTCACCTCTCCTCCCCTTCGCAGGTCCGCCTGGCCGTGAGCCTCACCACCCTCCTCGTGCTCTACACCCTCTTCAACAGCACCTCCGATTCGCTCCCCGTCACCGCCTACGTCAAGATGATCGACGTGTGGTTCTTCTACTGCATCTTCCTCCTGTTCTTCATCATCGTGACCCACGTGGTGTCCGAGCACCTGCAGAACCGACGGCGGGTCCTCGACGTGCACCCGGCGCTGCAGGCCAAGCTGCCCAAGAACAGGGGGTCGCCCGTGTCCATCTCGTCCACGGCCATCACCACCGGCCGCAGTCCCGAACGGCTGCTCGTCGTGGTCCGCTTCTACATCATCCCTGCCATCGTCTTCGTGTTCAACCTGATGTACTGGGCAATTCTGCTCGGACGCTTTGAGGTCTTTAATCAGTAACGAGCAATGCCAAGCTGTACATCCATAATAATCTCTCTTCTACAACTGTCGTTCCATCGATTTTTGGCGATTTCTTTCTTTCGCAAATCCGAGGACCTTTCTTTCTCTCTGTGTTCGAGGCGAAACAACGACAAGTAATCGCAATTCAGATTATATGGATTCACAATTACATTAATTCACTTATCTAGCATTAGAACATTCAACATCTGGGTAAAATAAGAATTTTTATACCAAGCACTTATGTACTTTCATATATATGAAAGTGTATATATATATATATATATATATATATATATATATATATATATATATATACTTTTGTTCAGGGACAAAACCGCTCATTACTTACCCCCTATTTTTTAACATTTGATCATATCAACTATTTCTTGATAATAACTATGATATACTCTCTTAATCATAACACTACATTTTGCAATACTGATATGCCTTCAGAATAAAAAAAATACGTAAAAAAATGTTTCTTAGCCTCTTGATGTGAATGAAATACTGCATCTCATTATTTCATGCTAAGGGGAATCAGTAACAACTGTATTCTCTAGTTCAGTGCTGTATTTTTCCTTTTATGCAAAAATAATTATACGCAGACTTAGCAGAATATTGTTAAATCAGTCTCCGATTTATGACGTGCCATTAACATTACTTTCACCTGCTATTAAGACTGTTAAGACTGTTTTGCCCCGAAGTAGGTCGACCTAGAGTATAGCACTAATGACCCAGACTGAAACTAACCTGAAACATGAAGAGGCTTAACTGGCAATGAAATAACCGCCTCGACCATTACCCATAGTGCTAAGGTATTTCTCAGTTATAATTTCTCGATTATAATTTCCAGTAGTCGATTTCAAAAATATTTCTCCCAGATCCAAGGTTAAACTGAGGACCGTCTAAATGTATTTCAGTCAAACACAAGCCACCATGACACTTTTTTTTCTACTCTACAAATTATTTCTTGTACGAATGTCTGGTAGTAATTATTGTATTTTTTCGGTATAATTCACAATTTCGTTCTTAATTGCATTATATGTAGAAAACATCTCAATTACCAGTACTTATTTAAAGGTACCATTAAAAAAAAAAAAAAAAAAAAAGGCACTGTTCATGAACAAAAATCACTAACAATATCGATTTATCTTATTCGGTGATAAAGTAAAACGTTATTTCTCGTTCATATTCGCATTTTGTAGTGCATATTGACATTGATCTGTCTACATAAAAAAAGAAAAATAATGCGTATTCACTTCACTGCTAGTCCTCATTTAAAGTTGAGCCTATGTAAAGTCAAAATAAACTTAAAACATTAAAAATCACGGGTTAAGTTTTCAGCTACTTTTTTCTTCTTGTTCTTTATTTTTCAAGGATTATTGGCTGAGAGAGAGAGAGAGAGAGGAGAGAGAGATGAGAGAGAGAGAGAGAGAGAGAGAGATAGAGAGAGAGAGAGAGGGAAGAGGAGGGGGGAGGGGGAGGGGGAGGGTGAGGGGAGGAGAGGGAGGGAGGGAGAGAGAGATGAGAGAGAGAGAGAGGGGGGAGAGGAGAGAGAGAGAGAGAGAGAGAAAGAGAGGAGAGAGAGAGAAAGAGAGAAGAGAGAGAGAGAGAGAGAGAGAAACCTACACGAAAACCATAAATGCACACCTTAAACTTTACAAATACTAAATCCATATATCCAGGCGAAAAATATCGAAAGTTATCGATTACCCCCCCCCAAAAAAAAAAAAAAAAAAAACGCCCATCACTAATCACACAACATCGTCTGCAAAAGTTATTCATCCTACCCCAAAAAAATAAAAAGCTCCAGCTTCATGGTCTCCTCAAACCCTGAACACCTGCTGACCCTCGAACGACAAAGCAGCCTCATTTCCTATATGAACTTGAAATTCGTTGAGCGGATAAATCACAACAAAGTTCTTGCCATATAAGGAAACAAAGAGAGGTGATATGAATTGCCACGGTTGTAAAGTACTACACCTGGCTGTCAGCATCGGATGATTATACAAAATAACACCTGATTAGCACTTTAATAAAATTGTAGGTCATCGCAAAAATCTGCCCTATATGATTCGGATGAAATATAGTGTATATGTCAGAGAGGAAAGCATACCATTTACCATAAGAAATACCTTGAAAATAAAGAAATAAAAGTACTACAAAACCGTAGGGTCTTGCAGACTCGCCAAACGCTCCTAAGGCGTCCAAATTATACCAACCTTTGGCAACACCTCTTTTGTTTTATAAAGTAAATCTTTTCAGAGTGGTTGGTGGGACCGTATAATTTAGTGAAATATCATTATTGCAATTTACATGTAGAATTTCTTGTTAATATGAACTTTTAAGTCTGCCACATCGTCTCCTTCTTAAAAAGAATAAGTTATTCTTTATATGTATCTGATATAACAGAACAAAACGTCCAGGCCGCCAGTGTGTCAATATTTATAAACGATAATTTCATAACCGGCCGCCATGACCAATTATCCAACATGAAAGACAAACAGGAATTGTGGGAGCATAACAGATGGCACCCCAAGTAACATTAATTGAAACTCTTAACACGTGACCAAATATTGGTGCACTCGGGAATGACCATTTAAAAAATAATTATGCTAAGAATACAAACTGAGGCTCATGTTTCAATCTTTAGAGAATGGAGCAGTTATTTTTTTCCACGAGATAGAGGATTTGGGCTCTTCACCCGAAAGAATAAAATGGATAAGCTCAATTTTGTGCGTCTTTTCATATCTTTATTGGTATGCACTTCAGGGTCATTGTCTGCAGTGTCCAAACTTTTGTTTATGCAAATATTGAGCATATATATATATATATATATATATAAATATATATATTTGGTGTGTATATAATACACACACACACACACACACAACCACACACACACACACACACACACACACACACACATATATATTATATATATATAATATATATATATATATATATATATATGGATCCAATTTGGTCATTGTAACAAATTCCTTACTTAAAAGAAAATGCATGTTATGTCTGAAAAGAAAGATCATAGACCGTGTCATAATACCAACAGCCTTACGGAACTAAACCCCGGACCCTGATACAACACCGAGAAAAAATCAGCTGTGGGTGCGTGAGAGAGAGAGAGAGAGAGAGAGAGAGAGAGAGAGAGAGAGAGAGAGAGAGAGAAGAGAGAGAGAGGAGAGAGAGAGAGAGAGAGAGAGAGAGAGAGAGAGAGAGAGAGAGATGAGAGAGAGAGAGAGAGAGAGAGAGAGAGAGAGAGAGAGAGAGAGAAAGTATATCAAGTTTCAAGCTCATCGCCGCCAGCTACGTGAAAAATAACAACCTCTGAACCTCCGTCCTCGGGGAATTCCCTTAAGCTTTCTGAAGCTCAGACATCTCTTCCCTGAAACACTCGAAGCAGCCAAATAAACCTCCACAGTGGAGCGGATGAGCCTCTGCAATAAGGCTCATGCGCATTGCCTCTGCACCTGGCAGAGCTTGACCACTATCCCCTTCTAAACAGCGAATTTCACACCAACCTTTCTTGTAGTCGAAATATTCTCTAAATTGACCTGTAAAAGGCTACTTCCAGGTTTCTTTGCGCCTTGACATGCCAAAGACAGCAATTATCACGCCTTCCAAATTTCAATCTCGAAATCTGGGACCAACCTCCACCTTTATCCCCGGTGGAAGTGGTAAAATCACTTCATTTTCCTCGTCTTACTAGTCCCCTTCACAAGGCCCTTGCTGAAGAACCAAAGCAGCTGGAGTGGACTGACCATGTGCATTCGATGTCACCATGAACTCCCTTGCTTCAGTTGCAACACTGTCCTTCCTAAGCCCTGGTACCTCTCCTTCTTCCACCATGGACGCCGACATCAACACAACAATCTGTCAACAGCCTCCCTCGTTTATTTTCTTCAGCAGCTTTGATCACGAGCTCTTTGTAGTCCATTTCGCACTTCATCTCCACATTCTTCGTGGAAAGCAGCCCCTTCGCCATTCGTACAGACCATCGCCCCTTGGTTCATGCTTTCACCGACGATAGCGATGCCTGCCCCAACAGTGCCCTCCCTCCAGCGTCGCCGAATTCAGGTGCAGAACGGAGTATGTGTCACGGAAGAAGGGTCGCGTGGCCCTTGGCTCTCCCTGAAGATGTAGGCTTTACCAAGGAAAGGGTCCCCCGGGTGAGAGAGAGAAGAGAGAGTGAGAGTGATGAGTGAGTGAGTGAGAGAGAGAGAGAGAGTGCGAGTGTGTGTGTTTGTGTGTGTGTGTGTGTGTGTGTGTGTGTGTGTGTGTGTGTGTGTTGTGTGTGTGTGTGTGTGTGTGTGTGTGTGTGTGTGTGTCTGTGTGTGTGTGTGTGTTGTGTGCGCGCGCGCGCGCATGTATGCATTCGTGCGTAATAACATTTGAGTGCGATTCCGTATCGGCATAAACCAAAATAACTCGCACTCAGCATGAATGGATGATAAAGCCATTCACCACTACTAGAGCAAACTACGGATGTCTTTTCTGTTTGTAGATTTAGTTGGTTAGGCCCTCAATAGATGGCGCCCACGTACAATGTGTACCGTGACCGCTGTGCATAACGTTTACCATCGCAACCGCCAAGCAAGCCTCAATTGGCACGCTGCTGACCTTAGATTTCTCTCGAAACGCATCTCCACCTATATTTTCATTTAATTGCGAGGGGACAGACCCCGAGCCCCGCCGAGGCCGCCCAGAGGTCGTGTGGCGCACATGGCACGGCGGCCGACTGCGCATGGCAAGTGGCGAGTGGCAACTGGCAGTGTTTACTCCCGCCGCATGTCCTTCCTTACCTCCGTCACGTAGCACTTTGTTTTTGTTTTCACTGCCTTTCCTTATTCATAAAGCATGTCGAATAAGTACCCGGTGCAGGACAGGATGCGGGAGATGTCGAAGCAGGAGGAGATCCTGCTGAAGAGGAAGCGAGAGATCGAGAGGAAGATGAAGGAGCAGAAGCAGGCGGAGGCGAAGGCGAGCAGGACGCCCCCGCTGCCCAAAGTGCCAGCGCCTGCCACGACCTCAGCCTCGGTCACGTCTCTGAGGTAATTGGCCTCGAGCAGGTGCCAGGAGGGGGATCGAGGCACCCCGCCCCCCTGTTCCCCCACAGGAGATTAGCTGCCCCTGTTACACTCTTACAGCAAGGCCTACCCTAGACCAACGTCAAAGCCGTTTTACACGTTTTTCCTGTTTGTTTCACAGATATCCAACCTTGCAGTTATTATATTTGCTCCCCTTTGTAATGTGTTAACCTGTTGTTGTCCATTGTTAATGAAAAGTTGAGGTAATAAGTGAATATATATGTAATTATGCAGTGACATTGCCCCTTAGAGACCCTGGGGGCACTTGGGAATCCCTAAACCTGGCCGTATGAACCGAAATCATTCCGAACCTGGAGGCTTTGATCCAGATACCCACCTGTTCCCTTCATTTCACTACCAGGGGCTCTTCCCCCAGACCTCAACCCGCCCCAGTCCTCAACCCAATTACTGCAAAATTAGCTCTCCTCGTTGCTATTTTCTTCATTTCGAACACCATTGTTTGGGTGCTCAGTTTATTTCATGTATCAGTGAATGTATTTTTTCCCCTCTCTTTATGAGTGTCACTAAATGTTTCCGATCTTAGTGCAGTCATTATGTAAATGTACAGCAAAGTATTACTTAGATGTTGCAGAACTCTTAGGGGGGTGTCACACTAGCATGATTTCTGTGGTTTTTTGACGTTTCTGTGGACTTTTTCTTACTACCACTGGCATATTGGCCGAATGCGGTAATTTCCAGTCAAACGATAATTATTGTTTTCATTGGCATTTTGGTTCAAATCATAAGCTACAATAGATAATTCATATAGCAATGCAAAAAAATCTATTTATAATATAAAATTATTCAAAAAGACAGTCTAAATTGTAAATAATATTTTAGAATTTGCAAAACTCTCTTGTAATTAATAAAAAGATACAAGTTGGTAACTAGCTGCTCATCTGTTTGTTTACATTTTTGTCCACATTCCTCTGTCAGCTGAGTAGATGAGAGCAGCAAGAATACGCTCTTATTTAAAATTGTTTCGCATTAAATTGCCGCCACAAAGCCTGAATAGCGTCCATTATCGCCGGAGCCTGTGCGGGGGTTGGAGCCATCTTGCTGTGTTTAAAAATTTTGTTGGTCATTGCTATTGTGACTGCAGGTGCCAAAATGCAAAATGCCCATGATTTCCGTGGTGCCAGCGGAAAAGTGATGCGGAAAAAGTTCAAGTGTGACACAGCCTTTAGTTGACTGTGAATGTTGTTCTATTCACCTTGCTCCATATGGCTTTGGGAAATTAAAACCATTCCTGTAACATTATCCTGGCCAATAATAATTAAGGCGGCCGCACTACATATACCGAGGAAATTATTATAGAATTATTGACTAGTGTTCATACATGTCAGCGAAGTTAATAAAATTTTGGGGACCTCACTGGTTGTGCTTTAATTGAAATTCAAAGGTTGCGCATATTGCAACAGTGACGGACTCGAATATTGCATTTTTTTCAAAATTTTATCTTTTGATTCCACTATTTCTCCTGTGTGTTTGTCTAATATGTGTTCTAAATGTCAAAAGTAAAAATTGCTTTATTGATTTTGTATGTTTTCCCACTTCTTTAGTCTCTAGTGAAGATATATATACAGAATATTTATAGTTCAAAAAATATATCATAATGGTGACTCCATGTTAAATAGACCCTTTTACCGAAGGACACCAACCAAGGGGGGTCATTAGATGTCTTCGCTAACAGTCGAACAGGCTTCTTCCATCCTGCTTCACATTGTTCATTATATCTCATTATTGAAAAGCACAATACTTTGTACATGTAAAATCCATCCCCACCCCTTCTATCATCAAGGTCTTTGATAACTGGATGACCCACAAGACTGAAATTCACATATGCATCTTTATAAAGATAAAAATTAAATGGCATATGGAAGTAAAACCACATTTATGTAAATAAAGAATCTGAACAGGTAAAATGTGAAAAATATCTCCCGTATGAAAGTCATTTTCTGATTTCCATTTTTTTTCTCTCTTCTCAGTGTCCCCAGATCTTCCTCAGTTCCAAACAAGTTCAGCAATGATGGGAGTTTTTTTGAGCAATTCAAAAAGATGTCAGGGCAGCAGACAGGTAAAATGTTAAGCTAAAGAATAAGATCTTGTCCACTGTTAATTTTTATGTATTTTTGTTGTCATATAGAAGACAAATATTTAAATTGACCGATTTGTTTTGGTATTTATTTCTCTGTATTCTAGATTTGCAATGAAGGTTCTTCCAGTCTTTTAGAACACAAATATATTATATGATTAATTTAGATATTATATATTTGCTAGCTTTATTCTGTGTTGTTGTGAGCCACAATTTACATATGACAGATGAGCAGCACCTCACAGGTAGCTTTGGCAATGATTGCAATTATTTCTGATTATTATCATGTAGTTTCACGTGTTTTCCAGTATGTAGCATTCTCCTATGCTTGAAAGGTGATTTATAAACTTGATATTAGTCCCTAGTTACTCATAGGAGTGGGATAGTGTATTAGTGTATTTTATCAGTAAAATGCAGTGGACTAGAGGTGTGTGAAAATATTTGGTAAAGAATACCATTTCTTGCTTAGATGTTATGTATTATACATGAGTGTGTAGTATTTACTTTTATTTATTATATTATTTAGGTAAAATATTTGAGCTGCATGTGTCTCAGAACTTTTGTATATGAAAATCTAGGAATCTGGAGGAAAACCTGTCCTCTGTCTTTTTATTTGTACAAATTTTATTTTTATAACATTATTGTTAGTGTCTCATATTGATCGTGTTGGAGAATGTAGAAAATTATATCGCAATTTCCTCCAGTAGGAATTAAGGAGGAAGGAGACTCGTCTGTGAAGTTCAAAAGTTCCTTACCATTGTCAACAAAGTCCAAAGCATTAAACCAAGTCCCCCCACCTAAGCAGTTCCATCCAGCCATTTTTTCTCCCGAGAAAAAAAGTACATTGTCGCCCAGTCCAGAGCCAGTAAAGGTTAAAACTGAATTTGATATTGAAGTAAGTAGCAGCTCTTTTATTTGTTCTTGTGCACATTTTGAAAATCTGTTGTGATATAGATTTCAGTGTTATTTAACATGCCATTATTGTTTTAATATCTTTAGTAACTGTCTCATTGTTATCCGTTATAGTATAAGGGCAATGTATTTCTTGTAACATGTACAGAGAAGTTTGTGACCTCTTGATGGTGGATATTAATTAGGTGTTTTGGAAATTGTTTCAGGAAAATACCTCATCTATTCCTGAATCAGTAAAAAATGAAGCAGATCATCCTGATTGGTTTAAGGATGCCTTGAAGAGAGCCCAGGAAAAAGCAAAACAGTTATCTCAGGCAAGCAGGTAAGCTTCTGCTCTTCAAACTTTTTTTTTATGCGTATGTACAAAAGGTGTTACTACTTCTTTTTTTTTTTTTTTTTTTTACTTTTTTTAATTCAAAACTTTTTTTTTGTATTCAATAGATACAGACCAGAAAATGCAATTTCCTCAGCCTGCACTAGATGCCCATCAACCCCAATTTTTATTTATTTGTTTATTTATTTATTTCATAAGAAGGGCCAAATTTGGGCTCTATTTATTTATTAAGGCATCATATTTATTAAAGAGTGCATGCCATATAATGTGCTAGTATAGTAAGTAGTTACTCAAACAGAAGCAGGCAAAATATAAGCAAACAGTACATAAAGTCAAACTATGCAAACTACATATTTATCACTTCTTACAAAGTAATAACATGTATTTGCAAAACACTTGTATATATATTAACCCCTTCTAACTGAGAATGGCATGTGAGTTTTGTTTGTTGATTGTTTTTATTTGTTGATGGGTCCACAAGGAGTCAATCACAAGTCCTACGTATCTCACTTGTTTACTGTTATCCTTAATTTTTGGGAATATACTCTTGATTTTTGTCGGCATTAGTATTCTTATTAACATTATGTGATAATCATAATATCAATAATAGTAATGTCAGCATAGATGAATATGTATGTAGCACTTGTGGGGACATATATGTTAAACAACAACAAAAAAAGGTGAAACTACAGTTGATATTACATTCACAGTGGCAGTGGGTTGAATAGATAGTGGAAAATACGAAAATGTCGCAAGGAGCCTATTGTTGAAGGCATAGGAGGGAATCCTAGCGGAAGTGGGAAAGGTATAGGGGAAAATGGAGGGTATAGTGATCTCTGTAATGAACTGTACTCATGTTGACAAATGTAGAAAAAATATGAGTGAGAATGAATATCTTGACAATACAATTTCAGTTTCTGACGTAGATCAAATTGAAATAGCTCAGGAGCTCTAACACCAATACCTCCTTGGTCTAATCTGTTCTGATTCGAACGTCAACAACCTAGCTCTATCCTGTCCTTCTACTTCTCACATGTTCACCCTGCATCTACTTCTTCCCTGCGATCGTACTGAGTATCTAATATCTCTCTGCTGATGGCGTGCGATACTGTTGAGCCACTCGACACGCGAGCCCGGGACAGACGGGTACATCGACCAAAGGCTTGCACCACACATCTATCACTAGCCTGATTTAAGGCGTCTCCAATATGAAGGATAACAATCTGCGAGATCCGCTCCTTGAAATATGGACACTAGTAAAACTCGACATCTAAGGCAATACGCCATAACACATGCGCGTGCGGACAGGACCCCTTCCTCTCGCACGCCCTGAACGATCAACAGGTCAGCTTCTTTCGAAGTGTGACTCTCATACGCCTAGCATTTATCTTCTATCATCTTTCCTCATGCAAGCCACTATTAACTCCTCTCTCCCTGCACATCTTCTCCCCTCTCTTTCCAAACTCTTATTCTCCATGCGAATATCTTCTGCAAACCAACTAACTCCTTATGCTCACGACTCTCATCTTGTGAATGCCTCACTAATTACATGTGCAACTTCTCAATACGAAGTCTGTTGCCTCTAAGCATTTGGCTACCTGTCCAGACAGTCACTCTACGATGAGACGTTACACATAGCGCGTTAAATATTAGAGTGACTACGACCAGTCGTTTCACATGAGCACATAGACGGAATTTCTCACGCACGTATGTTACGACGCCCTTCAGAGATTCTACTATAGCGATACTGTGACACATCAAATATCGAAGGCACTAATCGTCGCGATCGTGACTACTATAAGCACACTACTAAACAGTCTGCGTGGCCTCACACCTGGCTTTTCGCACAATCCTCTCTCGAACGCTAGACATTGTGTGATTTCTGACTCCCGCGAACGAACCTCTCGTATGCGCGATCGGTGATCTCAACGACTGTGACCCTAAAGACTAGTCATATCCCACCTCGTCCGGCGCTAGCCACCTCAACATGCCCAGCCACCTTAGTCAAACATAAAATGTACTAATATATCCAACCATTATCATTGGTTAGTTTACTTGCAGATGTTATAGCTTACATTATTCTATACTTTCAAAGGTTTGTATAACCAACACAGTGCTAATAAAACACATTAACTTTTATTGATATATCTAGCTATGCATTCTTTATTATTTTCTAAGACCATTTGGCAAACCCTCAGAAAAACCCTGGTGACCCTCATTTGGGTCCCGACCATGGGGTTGGGAACCACTCTTCTCAGGAATAGAGTGAGTGAGAGTGTGTATGTGTGTGTGTATGTGTGTAATGTGTGTGCGAATGGTGTGTGGTGTGTGTGTGTGTGTGTGTGTGTGTATGTGTGTTGTGAGATAGTAAAAAAACAAAATAATATCAATGTAAGTAGTGAAAAAAAAAATAAAAAAAAAAATCCATCCTAGTCCTTTTAGCGCTCTGTGACTGCGTGTTATTACGCCAAGTACGCCGTCCAACGCTCCGAAGACCTATATCGCGAAGCACCTGATGCCTTACAGTGATCACCAATGTGACGCCTATCCGCTAATCGTCGCGCAGGTACACTGAGCACCCCGTCTGCAAACGGATGATGCAAGTCCACGCGTCGCGAGTGATGGATGACGACTATGCTGTGCTGAGTGAGTGAGCGTCGAGTACCGCAGTCGCGTGGCCTGCGCATAGTCGCGAACACTTGATGTCGCACCGTGGTAGACACGTGATGACGTGACCTGGCACGTGAAATCGACTTCAAGCTGACATGCGATGTTGACCCTTTCAGAGTGCCGAACGGACCAGCCTAGAAGTGTAATGTGATCAACGGCTACGCTATGTCATCCGATATCGTGTACCGAGGTAGAATCTTGCAGTGGCAGCATGTCTCATGCTCGAGATATCGAGTTCGCTGTGTGTCTTTTGTGTGTTTTGTCCCGATATGTGTGATTGTGTCCGCTTCGACTCTCACTCCTCTCCCCGAACCTCCTCATCCCAAGCTCTTACGCTCATCAGTACCCTCCTCGTCTCCCTCTTTACTACCTTTCCCCTTGCTCCCGATAGCACCACAATTATCTATGGCTCCACCTCCAGCCTCTATTCCAAGTCCATCCTATCCACTCCCTCCCCTCTCCCTGCCCCCACGCCCTATCACTGTTCCCTCTCATATTCCTCTCACCTCACCTGTCTCAAGCGCTCTCACACTTCTCTCCTATCCACCTATCTTCGCCATACTCCTTCTCTTTGCTCATCGCATCTCACCATCCTCCTCTCTCATATTCTCCCCCACCGCTGTCCGCATCGGCATCGCTTTACTACCTATCCATAGTTATACTCCTCATCGATTCACCACCGCTTGCCTCACGCTCCATCGTTCCATCTCTTCCTAGTTCTTATTTCTATCCACTTCGTGTGTACCTTACGCTGACGCTTGTGTGTACCCGTAGCCTTGCATCCTGATGAGGATCTAGCGGCCTCAGGATATCTCATCCACAATCGAGCGCGAACCCTCAATTGATCTGCCTTCGCAACACACCGATACCCGACGCGGATCTCTGGCAATTCTACAGCGCAAACCTGACTGTATATGCTACACTCGTAACCAGCCTACGTACGCACACCGCCCGCAGCAATGCAAGCCCACCACTAAGCCAACTTTAACCTGGCAGATCAGCTGCTATAACCGATAGGGCCAACGTACCATACTGACCCGTCTGTGAATATGTTGCGTGCTCTCCGTCGTCCCTCCATCTGACCGCTCGCCACCACCTAACTGCTGCCAGTCTTCAATCCTTACCTGCTATCGATCACCCGCATCGCCCCCGATTACACATACTCCAGCAGAGTATGCCACCTGAAACGCCCCTGTCTCATAACGTAAGTACTTTTTATATAATACCATCCGCCAACACACTCCTATCGAAGGTATGCCTGTCGTTGCGAGACTGATCCCCAGCAGGCATAGTCCCTTCTCACAAATGCCGAGAACCGTACAAAGATGCCTCCGCCAACCGACAGACGGAATATCTTCAAGCGTCGATCACCGAACACATCTGAGCGAAGCACAATGCGACCACCCGTGATATCTTCTCGCTTCTCGAGACTGCTCCTGCAGTACCATCTCTCCTCTCGTTACGCCCGCCTACCTTCGTAATAGATAAATAACCACACAGCTCTTATCACATACCTGCTACCCTTCCCACACCATCGAATACACTATGACCTCCTGCCCGCACCTGCACGCCACCCACCTATTCCGACCACGTGACCATCACCGTCACCATCACCTCCCGGCTCCTCCGCATGCTCGCGCGTCTGAACAGCTCATGAGCACCTACACCTCTATTCCGTCGACTGGTCCGAATGCTGTGTCTGACTCAGGTCCCACGACATTCAACCCCACCATCACCCGATATCGGAGTTCTGTATCCCCTCTCGCACTCTACGCAATCTGTTCGAGTGTGCCAGGCTAACGTGTGTCTCAGCGTGCGTCTCGCATGCACCCGACGCTCCAGCGCCTCGCTAACCTCACACACACGGATCCTGCTACATCTTGACACGAACTAGTATACCCCGTGACCTACTATCAGCCGGGCACTCTCTGTATCTTCATCCCAGACTATCTACACTCACCGTCATCCTCTCTGTACTGCGGTCGCGAGGACCGACCATACTAAAGTCTGCGCACTGTCTGGTCGTCGCTGCACTGCCAGCTTTACGAGTCTAACACGATTCGTTAACGCGTCACGCTTCCGCGGACTACACAATTGAAGGAGAATATTACTACAAAATAAAAAAGAAAAAAAAAAAAAAAGATAATATAAGAAAAGTAAAAAAAAAAAAAGAGAAAAAAAAAAAAAAAAAAAAAAAAAAAAAAAGAAAAAAAAAAAAAAAAAAGAAAAAAAAAAAAAAAGAAAAAACGCGAGACAAAAAAAGTACTAAGAACAAAAAAAAAAATATAAAAAAAAAAAAAAAAAGAAAAAAAAAGAAA